CAGATACTGTAAGGTACACAATTTGAAATGCAGGTTTGCAAATTGGCACCAGTGCCTGAGGGAGTACAACCTTAAACTGCACATGTTCTGGGAACTTGCAGATGTAGGTAAAAGTATGAGGAGGGGCCCACATCCCGCTGAGCCTATAAACCTTCCCAAGGCATCTACCAGTGTGCCAACGCCTCTTTCCTAGTCTTCCCTGCTTACTTTAGGCTGTGTCTGCCAAAGCTGGAGGAAGCTTTTCCCACCTCCAAGTATGATTTGCTCAGCACTTGGGAAGTGACCAGAAGAATCGTTGACCCATGGAGAAGAAGAAAACCCCTTCATTGCACCTGCTAGCAGCATAACGGAAAGCTAAGGAGCTGTCTGTGTCGTGAAAGTAAAGTCGGGCACTGTGGCAGGGTTAGGGCTGGCTGAAGCGTTTATCTAAATTGTTCTATTAGCAATAAAAACTGGGGAGTTCAACATTGGGGTAAAAACCTGATGGAAGCCAGGCTTTAGTGGCACACGCCTTTAATCCCAGCACTCAGGAGGCAGAGTCAGGCAGGTCTCTGTGAGTTCTAGGCCAGCCAGGTCTACAGATCGAGTTCCAGGACAGACTCCAAAACAATACAGAGAAACCCTGTCTCAAAAAAACCAAAAACCAGAACAAAACAAAACAATCCCCCCCAAAAAAAGATGGATCAAAGAAGCAGAGGAGTGACCAACTCTCCTCCTCTCTACACTTCCCAGATCAAAGAGAGTGCTTGAATTCCAAGTCCCTCCCATCTCCTTCCTGCCAGTCTTCCCTAGCCTTATTCCTGGCTTCTCTATGGTTAATTCTGGTCAGATAGTCACTGACTTAGTCCACTGATTCAAGGTTCACTTGATCAGCAGTCCTGGAATGTCAGAGTGTGATCAAACATTCCATAGCAGCCTGCTTTCAAAAATAGGTCAAGTGCGCTCTTCTACAGTGTGCCTGAAGCTATTGATGGTAATAACCACTGTGTGATCCATCCTTTAAGCTAAACTAAAGTCCTATCCACCGGAGCATTTGCCCAAGTCAGGACTAATCCCAAAACTCTAAAAGCATGTTTCTGGTTCAGGATAGGACCTCATAGACACTGTAAGTCCAGGCAGGCATGGCCAGTGAACATGTGAGGAAGAAAGGAAGAATTTCAGTCCAAACAATGGCACTTTGTTTACAAACCATTTTATCAGGAGAGTAATATGAAACAACTAACGTCAATCTGGTTAGAAGGCCAAGATGGAAGCTTAAGACCAGGTAGAAAATTCAGCCATTTTCTTAAAGGCATCCACCCAGTATATTGACTATAAGTATCAAACACCAAGTTTCCAGGAGTTTAAGGACAGTTAGTTTTCTCTTGGATTTTCCTAGCAGAAACGAAGCAATAATCTGCAAGTCTATGACTAAATAGTGCTGAGTTTAGCCTCAACTTCCTGTAACTGGGGGCAGAAGGATGTCAATGCTCTTTCAGTGACAAGTGGACACAGCGTGCTTGGTGACCAAGAAACATGGTGAGAACTTGTGTGCTCTGCAGGGAAACTGTGAGATCATGTGGTAAAGAGAGTCACTCACTTCAAAATACTCCGTATCAGGAGAATCCAAACTGCCTATCCAGTCTGTCCTGAAGAAGGTTGAAAAGCTGTCGAGAGCTCACATGACGACTGAGTGGGTTAGAAGGCACTCATTAGGTAAATATCCTAGCTATAACTCAATTATCCCATAAAAGACTGTTTCTGTTAGCTGTTGGCTTCCAATAGTTGAAGCTCAACTTTAATAGGCTAGAGACTGCATTCAAAACATGTATCTCTGTGCTTACAAGGCATGGTGAATCTTCAAAAATGGGCTGTGGAAGAGAAGGGAGTGAATGCGACTCTTCAGAGACTAGGCTAAAGATGCTACCCAAATGTGTGTAGGGTTCAGTTTCATTGGGATGGCCAACATCCTGGATCACAGCACCCAAAAGGAAGAAATGCTTTTGACTCAGGCTGCTTGAGCTTATCAGAGGGCAGAGCAGGTGAGTTTGCCTGAGAGAAAGCAGCAACATAATGATCTAGGCTGTAACAGCTAAGAGATCTGAGCCATTCTGATTCCACTGTGACAGGACCATGGCTTTGGGTGAGAGGAAAAACAGGGTTTTAGAAGGCGTTAAAGACTCGTGGGTTCGGCTGAGTTACTATTCCCAGAGGGGCTTAGGAAAGCAACCCTGGCTCAGAAACACATCCAACCCTGAGTTGCTTAGAAACCAAGAAACGGCTGATGTGTGGATAGGGCCAACCTGCTCCAGGTTCTCTACAGAGTAGCAACACGATGGACCCGGCTACTGAAACTGTGCAGTTCTTCCTGTTGAGCAAGAGGGGAGGTGGTGTCTCTGCGGGCCACATTTCAGAATGGTGGGCTTTTGCAAAAATCTCGCTTTTTGAGTCCATGCTTGTACTCCCTTTACATTTTCTGTTAACTCTTTTGCCAAATTATCACCAATTTGATGCAGAAATAAGATTTTAGGTAATGATATAGAGTACTAATTTAAAAGTTGACTTACCTCCCCCACATCAACACCTGAGGCAAGCAGGAGAGCTAGCCCTGGCCCTCATCTGCTGTAGCACTCGGAAGAGTGGCCCCCTACTCCACCCCTGGGCAACACAGCAGAGCTGACCCTGAAGGTGTAGATATGGGAGAACCCACCCTGAGAATTAAAGGCCGGAGAGCTGGCCCCGCCCCTGGCTCATCACTGAAAGGGGTTGAACTAGCCAGGGCAATGCAGGAGAGCTCACCCTGGTGGTGAAGAGAGGGTGAGGACAGAGGACAGCTGGTGAGCTCACCAACCCTGGAACTACCCAGGTCAGAAACAGGGTTACATGTTGGCCCACCCCAGCATCCACCCCATCTGCGACCTGCTGGAGCATGTGAAGGACCGGTCCTGCAGACCCAAAGCTGCAGGATCTCCACTACAAGGGGCAATAGCAGGGTATCCAAGAGGAGTCCCAGTGAGGGCCGAGCACCAATAGTAGACTTGAACCAGACCAATGACTCTCTGCAATGAACACTTGTAAGTAAATATACATAGGCAAAAGAGTTTACTACATGACTCATTATGTCACACTATGGCTTCTGTGACGAAACATTTGTCCCCCATTTTTTTCCTTTGCTTTTTTCACTTTTTCTCTTAAATTTCTTCTGGGTGGGGGCTGCAAGGGCAGAGGGCAGATATGCAGAGACCAGAAATGAATGAGATATTTATGCATAATGTGAAAGACAGAATAGTTTTTTAAATTGACTTACAATTGTTGAAATGAGACTAGGTTCTGTCTGTTCCTATTAATGGTGATTAAATATCACTTTGTTCTTAAGGCCAACACTTTTGCTTCAGATTTTATGTTGTCTACTTCTGCTTAGTGGTTTAAGCAAAGACTTAGCTAAATTTTGCTGTAAAGTGACACCCAGCAAATATTTAAGGTTTTTAAATGATACCTTTAGTTTTTGCAATAATAATTACATTGTATGTCACTTCCTTTTTCTCCGCTCTGAACTCTCCCATGAACACCCTCCTCTCTCTCTCTCAATGTGGTCATGCATGCATGAGTGTATATTCCTAAAAATAAAAATACAACCCTACTCAGTCAATGCTATGTTACTTATGGGTATGTATTTTTCAGGACAGACCATTTGGCACTGGATTACCAATTGGCATGCTCTTCCTTGAGGGAAGACTATTTCTCCCACTCTGGGCATTTCTTAGTGCCTGTAGTTCTTTGTGTAGGGTTGAGCCTGGTGAGCTTTCCCTCTTCCGTATAAGCAGAGTTACTTTAGCTTTTACAAGGCATGGCATTGCCCGTGCAGTATTCAACTCAGCTGTAGACATTAAGTCAACAAGTAAATACAGGTACAGTGAATTGCAATTTTACTTTCAAAATCAGATCTGGTCCATCAGTTACGGTTAACCAGTAGTTCCTACATCACAATTTGCTGTCTATAATCACCAGCAATAAAGATTAGCTGATGGTTTTTAGTGCCTCTATAGTGTTTAGAATTTTCACGGTGAGATCAAATTTCTAAACTTACCGCAGAGCCAACATTTACCTGCTACTTAGTACACTCTGATGTCTGCATTATAATGCCCAGGGATTTTTCTTACCCTTTGGAAGCAATCGCATGAACTGCTTGAATCAAATGATAGGTAGCAGAAATTAAGATGCTGATGACAGAGGGGCCTCTGAAAAGTGAGTAAAAAATCAGTGTGCACTGTGCACCTGGCTCCCCACTGTCACAGCTAAACGGGGCTGCCAGTCATCGATCCTGACAGCACTAAACATGCACGCTTGTCCCCCTTTTGCATAGAGAAAATGACAACTTTGAACCCGTGACTTCGGATAGAAAAGAATGTGAGAGCAGCTTCCAAGTTTCCGTGTCATAGTACACAATCTGTACTATGCCTTTTGCTCAGAAAACAGCAGAACTCTGGTTTATGCACAGAGATCATGAAAACTGTCAGGAATGTTGCAGGCACCAAGAGAAAATACGCTAAGGCTTCCTCAGTTAGAATTAGATAAAAGCTCCTCTCGGTAAAATTCACACGGTTCTCACTTTCCATGCTTGCCCGTCCAGTAATAAGCCAGACGTAATCCAATGAGCCAGATGCAAGCGGACTAAAGCTATCTACACAGGATTCCCCAGGCACATTCCTAGGACAAAGCCCTTCCAGTTCCGGGCTGAAAAGGACAAGACTGCAGAGACTGGCCAGAAGCACTAGTAATGTGACCTGAATGGGAATCCCAGGACCCTGGTGAAGCAGTATGTGGGGCCCTGGGAATGCAATTCAGAAGAACAAGTAGACGTCTTGTTAAGATGCCCTTATCTCCCTTTTTGTTCCTAACACTGGGCTGCAGCCCTAGACTCGCACACAAAGATCACGGACTTTTTTCCCTTTTAGTGGCGTCCAACGTGTAAGAGAATGGAAACCTCTTGGTATCCAAATGTATGTGTTTCTTCTTTGCAGTCACTCCCTCCAGTGATATCGCAGAAGAGCGACGTTTAAAGGGGCTAGCAACAGACGAGCCACGTCTTCGCCATTCTTATTTGAGACATAATTTCATCTTTATGCTCCAAAAACACCAAAAGAAGACAATGCAATCATCTATGCGTCTACTACAAAAAAGTGTAATTTTAGCATTTTACTATATGAGATCCAGAATTTTAATTTTCTTAGAAAATGACATTTTAATCATAACAACAATCCCTTGCACTTCCTCGTGTTTTAACCCTCTCTTTGCTTGGAAGATCATTATCCTGAATTTGAACTTTGTTCCTCTTGTAGATGTTTGTAGGTTTTATTATAGTCTGATATGATCATATGTAATTTATAATCTTGCTTCTATAGTAAAATGTATCCCAAGTGTCATTTGGAAAATATGCGTTGTCTCTAGCTTTCCTTATTTAACATTGTGTTTCCAAGACTTTTTTTTTTCATGGTGTTCGTGTGCTTTTACTTGCTCTGTGTAGCTACCGTATGATAGTCTCTTTATCCCCATTTCTATTTGTGGCTCAATCAGGTTGCTTCCTATTTTTATGATGATAATGAAGGGAGCCTGCAGAGAGGACTCAGTAGTTAGGCGCACCTGCTGCTCCTGCAGAGGGCTAGAGTTTGGTTCTCTGTACCCATGCGCAACCAACCATCTGCAACTCCAGTTCCAGAGGATCCGGCACCCGATCTCACCTGAGCATGTACACACACACACACACACACACACACACACACATACACACACACACACACACACACACACAAGGAGTTGGAAATGATACACACACTTGTCATCTCAGCGGTTTAAAAGGCTGAAGCAGGAGGGTTACAAGTTCAAGGCCATCCTAGACCACCTAGCCAGACTCTGTCTCAAAAGATTAAAAACAATACACTCAAGCAAAAATCCTCTTCTCACTGAGGGCTCCTGAGCTTCTTTCTCAAACATTATTTACATACTGCGTTTTTGGGTATTTATCACTTTCTTTTAGAAATGCTAATAAAGACAAAATTTAGAAAGTGGAATCAAGAGATGTTGAGTTCACTTCCCCCTAATATTCGTCTGTGTGTCCAGTGAACAGGGCCCGTGCCTTCCTAGACTGGAGAACCAACAGGGTGTATCCATCAACTGAAGCACCTACTACAACAAACAGAAGAGCCCAGCTTTCATGGACTCCCTGGGGATTCTGGTTTTCCTGAGGGTTTGTCATTCCATGATCCACAGTGAGATATTTGTACGCATATCAAACACATTAGCCAAATTCTGGACTATGGCTTGTTCCTGAGTTTCAGAAATGTACTTCCCCCATGTCATCTTTAAACTGTGGTTTCAGACCGTTACAGCTGCTGAGATACTGCGCCATGTGTTGGGAGCCTGGGGGATAATTCCCTCCAAATAGACAGCACATTTCCTGTACAAGCCCTGCAATAACAGTCTGGTCCCTGGGGTTGGTCAGACACTGGATCACAGCAACCCCAGTGGCCCTGGGCACTTCTGGGAAAGGTGACGATGACCATGGGTCCCGCTGGGTTGTTCTTGGAAGCCAGGCTCTGAACAGCTGTGAGAGATGAGATCTGGAGCCTGTGTGTGAGAATTAATGCTTTAAAACAAGATAGGGGCTTTTTACACTTTTTATTTTTAGGAGAAAATTTGCCTGTGTTTTGAAGCAAAATCAGAAACAGGACTGTGGCTCTAAGATGTCATTTGGGGTTTCTCACATGGGGAAGCTCTCACTCCCCTCACACACGGGGGGCGCTCTCTCACTCTCCTCACATGGGGGAAGCTCTCACTCTCCTCACGGGGGGGGGCTCTCAATCTCCTCACATGGGGGAGGATGCTCTCTCTCCTCACATGGGGATGCTCTCTCTCCTCACATGGGGATGCTCTCTCTCCTCACATGGGGGAGGATGCTCTCTCTCCTCACATGGGGGAGGATGCTCTCTCTCCTCACATGGGGGAGGATGCTCTCTCTCCTCACATGGGGGAGGATGCTCTCTCTCCTCACATGGGGATGCTCTCACTCCCCTCACATGGGGGGGGCTGCTCTCTCTCCTCACATGGGGATGTTCTCACTCCCCTCACATGGGGATGCTCTCTCTCTCCTCACATGGGGATGCTCTCTCTCCTCACATGGGGATGCTCTCACTCCCCTCACATGGGGAGGCTGCTCTCACTTTCCAGACCTCAAGTCTGCTCCCTTTCACTTACCCCCCAAAGGCCTGGCCCCACCACAGCAGCCCCCTCCATCCTTGTGCAGTTACACTCTCTTCTACATGGCAGCCTGCAGGCAGACTGGCCTGTGTGCAAGTCCTGGCAACCAGCAAAAAGCTGCCACGCTGAAAGTCTTCCTCCCTCAGGTGAAGTATTCAGCTGTGTCTCTAGACCTTCTAACCCTATCACCGCCTGACACTCCCTCTGTGGCGTGTCTAGACCTCACCTCACCCTACACTGGGCACACCACCCCCGACCACGCCGACTTCTCCGTCCCTAAAGAATTTATCCTCCTACAGCTTCTATAGCAAGCGTCTTGTGTGGCATCAGCAGCTAACCGTGGTTTAGTTCACAGAGAAAGTGTTGCTGTGTCTCCTTCACCAAGGCAGGTCCTAGGAGGAGAACCCAACCCTAGACTTCACAGGAGCCTCCAAACGCTGAGGTGACGTGCCGCGCTGTACAACAGTGCAGTCAGGCCAGGCTTCCCAAGCAGGTCTGGATGACCACCACAGTACAGGAAGGAGGTTCAGAGAGAGTTGTGGGGACAGCATTGAGAGCGGAGCAACACACACGCCCAGGATGGAGAGCAAGGGAAGGCAGGCCAAGGGCCAAAACTCTGTGCAGCATATTGGTCAAAGGAAATCATACGGTCTTCTCATAAGTGACAGACCAAACACGCTTTGGGCCATCAAAACTGTAGAAACGTAACCTCGTTAAATAAACATCACCCAAAACAGAATTACTTGCCACAAAGATATGCTTAGATACGTAGGTCCGGTGTGCCAACCTGTGACAAGAGACACCCAAATGAAGCAAAGGTAGAGAATTTGCTGCTCATCTGAGAAGACCGAGCGGACCCACTGTCTGTGAACGCAGTGATAGGGCAGCGTTAACTCAGCCTGTGATTTTTTTAAGGTGAGACCGTGCTGGGCCTACAATAGCACAAAGAAAACCGCGTGTTTCGTTGCTAGAGTCATCACAGACTTTCGCTGAAATGACTGGAGAGTGTGAAGTCCATGAGAGAGCTCGATTTTGTCTACTAGAGGGTTAGGAAGAGCCTCTCCCAAGCACCTTCAAGTGTGCAGATCACCGCTCCTCCAAGGGCAGCACTTCCTCTCCAACGCTGGTCAAAAGACCCATGGCTCCTCACAGAGCTGGCAGAGCACAAGCCACCAGTCAGCACACACGGGAGCCGGCTGGCAGGTGTCAGCATCAGGGCGGAAGTGTTAGCAGTGACTGAGTCAGCATGGTGTGTTCTGACTGTGTTAGCAGTGACTGAGTCAGGATGGTGTGTTCTGACTGCCGTATCTTCAGGACCCACTGTTACTGAGGCTTGCCTGGACTGCCTAGCCAAGCACATGCATAGACCAGAGAGGACAAGGGGGAAAGAAAGAAGCCAGGACAAAGTACTTGACAAGAAATCTTGGATTAAACAAACAACAAACACAATCAGAGCTCTTTGGTTTTGAAAGACTGATTCTAAACATAAGACACTTTTTGCTTCTCCCAATTCACTTACCAGAGTTTCTGCTAGAAAAGCAAGCTGGCACCGTGAACCTCACTATAACTTGGGTAGATGCTGCCCTCCAGAGGACTTCACTGGTATTGCTGTTTGTCTCATGCTAATGGTAACTCACCTCTCTGGGTATTGCACAGCTGTTTATCCGTTTGCACCTACAGTTAAGTTCCCACTAATCCGTTCAGAAACTATTTATTTTTGCATAAATATAATTTTGTGATTGACTATTAATAAATTTAGCCAGATTATTCACTAAGAAAAAAAAGTCCCCTAAAACTATTTTCCAAATCATGGGTATTGAAATCCATGTTAAAAGCAGTCGTGACCTGCTTGTAACAGAAATGATACAAAATAGAAAACATTAAGTAGAAAAATATTAGAATTACTCGGATGTTTTGAAGGAACAAGTGAATAAAAATTGATCGTTTTTAGATACAGATGGTGTAAGACTGACTGGATAATATGGAATTTTCAATTATGAAGTGTCCGTTGATCCTGTGAATTTGAAGGCGTTGCCGCACGATTACTGCCCCCTAGTGTTCAGTTTGTGTAATTCCGCAGGCTAAAATGTGCATCCGATAGAACTAAACAAGTTAGAACTCTCCAGAAAGACTCCTTGAAGGAGGAGGCAAAAAGGTTTCAGGACAAGATACCACTGGGCTCCGCCCCCAGGGCTCCGAGCGTGGCTTCAGATGACCTTAACCACTAAAACGAAAGCAGCCACCCAGACTTTGTAGTGTTAGCTTTGTAACAGATTGATTCACTTCAGCCAGGCTCGAACTTACAGGTGGTTATGAGCCACTCCACACGGATGCTGGGGGCCAAACTCAGGTCCTCTGCAACAGTAGTACTCCTTTTTAATCGCTGACCCATTTTTCCAAAGTGCTCTTTTTAGTCTGAGTGCCATTCAAAAATTAAGTTATTGTAACTATTTTTGATGATTGTACAACTCTACTAAATGCTCATTAAAATGGGACTGAGGGTTTACCTGATCTTTGACTTTGAAAACGGTATTTTATAGAATCTTATAGAACATTAAAAAAGTAATAACCTTGAAGAAATGTTTAGAATTTTTTCAATAAACTTGCATGCTATATATTCTAGTATAGGAAAATACATTAGATCAGTGAATGTTCAGATCAAAATCCAAGTATTCTGGGAAAATGGAGGGTGTGAAGTGTTATAAGGGTTGTGAACGGTGGGATCCCAGGTTCCTCCCCTTCCTGGACACAGAACACGGTGTCACCTGCTCCTCTTGCAAGTGGAGACAAGCCCTGACACAGGCAGTGATGGGCGGCATGTCTGTCAGTGAAGCTCCACAAAGCTAGCATCTACATTCAATTTTCTCCTCTGTCTTGGACCCTAGTGCCCCCTATTAGGTTTACAAAGTGAAGCCGGGCCACACTTGAAAGCAGATTACAAGCAAGGACAAATGGTTGTTTTGAACCTGAGACGAGGATTATCGTGATAAAATCATTTAAATCAGAGACTGCACAACCCTTCTCTAAAGTCACATTAGTGACTATTTCAGGCTTTGGAAACCATATTGTTTTCACACCCATAAAAACCTAAAAATCATTCTTCACCTATAAACTATAAAAGGCGGCTGGCGGCAGGATTTAGTCTATGAGCCATAGCTTGACAGCCCTGAGTTAAACCGC